AATCAACTGATGTTTAAGAAAGGTACCAAGATAATTCAAAAGAACTATTCTCTATAGTTCTTAATAATGTGCTGTTCATGTATGATAAAAGTGAGAAATCCAAAGTATAAGGAAGCATATTGATAAAGCGGTTGGATATGTAGATGGAAAAAAGGGACTCCAACTCTTATTTCCCAACAAAAATAAGCCTAAAAGAATCACATCCTTAAACACATGAGCTAAGTAAGCTTGCAGATAAATACTTTATGATCTTTGGTTAATAAAGATTTCTTAAACAAAGTGAGCTTGAATAAAAAAAGAATTTATCAATTGGACTTCAAATTAAAAACACTCTGTGAGAAACATTACTTGAGAAATAAAAACAAATCACTGACTGATAAAAAAATATATATATATAGGCAGTGCTAGGGATCAAACCCAAGGTCTTCAACATACTAGACAAGTACTGTACCACTGAGCTATGTACCCAGCCCTATTTGTTTAAATGGTCAAAGGATTTGAAGAGACTTTTCACCAAAGAGTAGGTATAATAGCAAATGAGCACACTAAAAGATGCTCAACATCATTAGTCATCAGAAGAAAGCAAATTAAAAGCACTATGAGGTACCTCTACAACTCATTAGAAAGACTAACATTTTGAAAAGACTGATAATCCCAATGCATTGAGAATGTGGAGCAACTAGAACTATCACTCTAGTTTTATTTGTACTGAAATTATAAACGGTACCGCTAACATGAAAAACACCGCAAGCTTCTTTTAAGCTAAATGTATACTTAATATATGACCCACTGATTGCATTTGTAAGTATTTACCCAGGAGAAATGGAAGCATACTGTACATACAAAGACTTGTTTATAAATGTTCATAGCAACTTTTTTCACAATAGACAAAAATTAGCAGTGACTCAAATACCTATCAAGTGATGAACTGATAAACAAATTGTTTCCTGAGTGTAAAATCCACATAGAAAAGGAGGTTTGAAGTGGGTTTCTGTACTGGGTAGTATGTGTGGGAAAGGTCTGCTTGCAGACAAGTTGTTAACTCTAGGAATTGACTAGCCTTGCCAGGAGCAGGTCTGGAAACATTGTAAAATATTAAAAAAAATTAAAACACAATTAATACATAATTACAATAAGCTGGCCTGCCTCACAGAAATTTGCCTTCTTCAGGGAATGAGAGAGGAGCGATGTGACGGTCCTAGAAAGTTTGATCCAGTCCTTCTGAGTCTGGAGGCCAGGTAGCAGGGCCTGTCTTCTTTCAGCTGGGTTGCTTCAGTCTTTCCTTGGCTTCTAGTTTTACTTTCCTTCTCCTCATTGCAGTCATGGGAACGTTCATATGTGTGTCTCATCCTGTGGCTTGCATGCTTAACATCCTACATCCATTGGATGCTTAACATCCTAGTGGCTATCCACTACCTGTAGAATCCAGTCCAAACTTCTTAACATGAGGTACAACTATTAGTCCCATTTCTTGAAATAAGTCTGAGATGACCTGTATGGCATTCATCAAATCCTTTCCCCCACTGTGCACGCAGTCTAGTGAGCTGTAGTGAATCTCTCCCCAGCTTTTAAAAAATTTTTTTTGGTAGTGGGAATCGAACTCAGGACCTTGCACTTGCCAGGCAGGCCTTGTACAGCTGAGCTATATCCTCCGTCCTCTCCCCACTTTTTAAAAAAAAAAGACACCAAGTTCTTTCTAGAAGAGCTGCATTCTTGTTCTCTCTTCTCCTAACCTCAAAGGATCTGTTAGAACAAGACTCAAACATATATTCTACTCAGAGATTTTTCCCAACTGTTCCCCAGCCCAGGCCAAATTTAGGGATTCACTCGATCCCCACACACCATTCTCTGCTTTCCCATCACTTCTATAATTGCCTACTTATTTTTCTCATGTGCCCTGAGGATAGAGACCATATAAACTATGTCCACCTCTGTATCACTGGCTCCTGGAACAATGCTTGATATGTGGCAGTCTTTGAGGAAACAAATCTGATGTGCTTGCAAGTGAGAGACACTGCGATGCTCTAAAGCCAGGCCTTCCCCAAGAGACCTGAACTCCTCACTGGTTTGAGGAGTGCTTCGGACTTCAAGCACTTTTCCTGCTGGGTGACTAGAGTTGGGCCTGGGTTGGGGAGGCCACAGAACATCTTTAGCCTAGAATTAGAACCAAACTTGTTTCCAGGGGAAGAGAGAAATGGAAATACAATATTTTCTTGGAAAATTTCTTCTCTTTGTGTTCACTCTGGGTAATTCATTTTTTATGTCCAAACCAGTTAACATACCTGGCAGTATCAGTGAGTGCTTCAGTCTTTAGCTGACTTCAAACCAGGACAGCGATGACTGCACTAACTATGGGAAATCCAGCATTGTCAAAAAATAATAAGTCTAACGTGCATTACAAATAACACTGTATAAAATGTGTGATGTTTCTCTTTACCTTCAACTTAGATGGAGCTGACAAATGTGGTATCACTGTTTTCCTAAAACTGTAACTTAAGCATAAAGAAAAAAATTATGTAAGATTTGAAAAAGAAACCTCCCAAAACTAAAGAAGCCTCTCTCTATTAAAAGAAATTCTTCAAACATTGACAGAGGAACAAGAGACAAGGAGGAAAGTATGAAGACAGTAGCCATAGAACATTTTGACTGAGGTCTGGGATAGACAATATGGTCTGAAATTGTAGTGGGACGTACTAGTAGAGACAGCAGGGAAAACAATCATAGTGATGAGGTCAGAGACTCAACTCTATCTCTATCACTGTGTCCGTCTCTGTTCTATCTCTGTCTCTCTGTCTCTGTCTCTCTCTCACACACACACAGATGAATGTATATCAAGTGTACTTTAAAAAGCAGAAGCTCTGATTTAAAAGAGAGGGGATGCACCAGAACACTTTCCAAGGCAACTTCAAGTATTAAATGGCAGGGTTTTTTCCTCTATCAGTTCCCTTTGCAAAAGAAGGAGACCCTATATTTTTTTATTTCGCCTGCTTAGAGCTTTCCTAGCTGTTTTTTTTTTTAACATCAAGGAGACATTTTCAGAACTTGTGAAAATCACTTAAAACATCAAACCTATCATCAGAGAAGCAATCATGTTGGTGTGCATGCATTCTGCACAATGTGTTAAGAGTAGATGGAGGGGGTCACCAGAGGGGCTGGCAGGGAACCAGGTTCTTCCTTGTTATTGTGCTTAATGTACCAGAATTTAGGAAAGATAAATCCAATTGTAAATATTTGCTTTCAAATCCACCAGCACCCGCCAGAGCTAAGACTAATGGATGTCAAGATAAGGGCAGATCTAAGTGAATGCAATTCAGGCAAGGACTTATGAAAAGTTAGAGGATTGCTAGGGAATCTCAGACAAAGATCTGTACATTTTAGATTGTTCGATTACAAAACCAGTTGGTAAAGTCCTTTTTAAAATCTAAGATTCTGTAATGCTATTATTTATTTGTGTGTGTGTGTGTGTGTGTGTGTGTGTGTGTCTGCACGTGCACACATAAGGCACAGTGGGTGAAAAGTGCCAGCTGTGGCTGTTTATTACTCTGAGAATGGCTTCCCTTCACAAACTCTCTCCACTAACACAGCATCTGCAGCAGCAAGAAGGTTTTACAACCTGCCTTTACCTTTTTGTTGTCAAGGCTGTTTAGTGTGGGATGGGGGTAGGGAGGCAGGGAAAGGACAGTATCTTAGCTGGAAGCAGCCCCCACAGAACATGTACCCTACCTAGAAAGAACTAAGTCTTCCTGTGATGTATAAAGCAACCAACTACAGGACGTCTCCACTTCACCATTTAACTACTTTGTGGCATTTTTCTTAGTCTATTCTGTGTCACCAGTTTTATTTTCTATTATCACATCTTATGTTGTCATTGTAGGCTTCTCTGTTTCACTCTTAGTCTTTAGGACTTGAATTTCTCTGTGGTCTTTGGGATACACCACAAACCAATCTGCATATTGGGTTTTCTGCCTGGACTATATTAGCAAAATTAAAGTTTTAGGCAAATGTATTGCCAAATGGTAAAATGTATGGCTGTTGTTATTTACTTATCTATACATCCCTTCACTTATTAAAAAAGTTATGGTTAGGGGCTGGGGATTTAGCTCAGCGGCAAAAGCGCCTGCCTGGCAAGCGCAAGGTCGTGAGTTCAGTTCCTGGTACCGGAGAAAAACCAAAAAAAAAAAGTTATGGTTATTTGTAAAAAATCAGAAGCGTACAAAGAAAAAAGTCAAATAACCAGTCATTTATAAGGCTAAATGATTGTCAGTTTTTTTTTTTTTGTAGTGCCAAAATAAAAAAAAAATCAGCTCTGCAGTAAGGAAATTTGGGTTCAAAATATAAATCCTGTAGTGTCCTGGCTTGGTGACCATTAACATCTCAATACAGTTGAGGCAAGAATTAAATATACAAACATGGGGAAAAACCTATGAAAGTAGTAGGACTTAAGATATAGTTGTGCTGAATAATCAGGAATTGGAATATTATGGGTTTTGAAGTGCTTGTACATTTTCTTTCTATCCCTACCCCATCTCATGGTAGACCTTAAAAAGAGAAACTTAAGAAAGAATATTTAATCTCATATTGCCTATTGCAGGCCTTGAGAATACTTGATACTTTCCATTAAATAATTTCTTTTCTAGAGCGGAAATGGAACTGGATGAAAAGATTGAGGCATTTTTATGAAAAATCAAACGTTCCTAGAAAGGCATTTCCTTCCCCAGAACCAGGCTTTCAGCCCCAGAATCCTCTCTCTCGCTGTTTGCTTGAACCCCTAGAGGGCAGCATGCCCTCAAAGAAACTCTGCGGCCCAATGAGAATCCCCTGCAATGGCCAATCATTACTTTAAGTCCAGTTAAGAAAGACCATCGGAAATCTCATTAGACACAAGAATTTCAGAGACTGTTACCTGTAATTTCTAATGACCACCACAGTGCTGTTTTATTGACAATATCAAATTTAGAGTATTAAATAGCTGGGAAAAGAAGAAATCTGGTGAATGGGCATCAGCTTTGTGGAAGGAACTCTGTTCAAGAAGCAGCAGATGGTTTCTTAGGTGGGATTCTCCTTCAAAAGTGACTTCCTGTCATACCCTCTCTCCTCCAGGCTCTTCAAACCGCAGAGGGACAAGAGCCACATGGGTCCCTCCTCCCACCAACCTTCCTCCATCTCCTTCCATTTCTGGCCCATCAAATATAGGCGGTAAGGCACCTGAGCGTGGGCTCTTGGTCCTTCTTCCTTTGTTTCTAGGATTAACTTCCGGTTCCTTAACATCTTCTTCAGTGCCTCACACATAATGGAGAAGACTCCGGCCTCAACCTCCCAGACACAAATCCCTCAATGATAGGGCAAAGCCCAGAGCACTTCCTCCCACAGCTCCCTAGGCTCAAAGTGCTGGCATCATACACCTGAGTCCCCTGCTGCCTCCTCAGAGGCTTCTCTCTTCAGGAGTCTCGGCCGGCATCTTAGGCTCAACCGTTCATCAGAGGCTCATGGTTCTAATGTGAAAACGAAGGAGGATGTCAAGCGTCTTCACCCAAGTTCTAGAGAGGCAGATGGGAATTTCCAGGGACTTTGATGCCAAAATCATTTTTGGAGAAAAAGTAACACAATTTCTTCTATTCATAGAGACTTATCATAATTCAGGTCGACTTTTGGATTTTTTTGGTGAGTCTTCTTTTTCTCAAAATATATCTGGGTTCGGATGGATGAAACAGTTTCCATATGTGTACAGGATGTTGTCAAAACAGGACACTAGAACACTTTTAATGAAAAATAACCCTTCCAATATTGAAAGGCAGTATCCATTAATTCAATCGAACATTATTTTCATAAGCAAATATGTTTGAAAAAATTAGCAAGTAAATGCATAAATAAATTACCTACATTGAAAGCTGTTACTGGCAGATATGATAACATGTTTCCTGTTAACTAGTTTACATTTCTTTTGAAGTGAATTTCTGGCTGACAGTGTTTATGTCACAGATGCTACCCTCACCTGCTTCATTAAGGCCTGTTTAGAATACAGTTCTAATGTAGGTTTTATTCCATGTAAAGCCACCTAGAGATAATTTTAAATGATCATATCGACTAACAAACACGTAATCAAGAAGCTCTTAAAATTTTATTAAAATTCAGGTCTTTCACCATTAGCAAACCTGGTTCATTAACATATTAATAGATAATGTTCCTACTCATAATTAGCGTGTATTTTCTTTGCATCATTGTAGTTGAAAGAATTCAGGTGGGGTTTGATAGAAAAGTTGTTTTTGTTTTTTTTTTTATTTCTGCCAACAAAGCACCTGGGGAAACAACTGAAGCTTCTGACCACTGTTTTCATCCTAGTCATCTGCTTCCTCTTCCCCACAATTTCTTCTCCTGGAACTCTATTTTATAATCTATTTTACCCATGGTTGACTTACTATGAATTATCGACAGAAGTAATGAATGAACTCCATGCAAATGGGTACAAATTGGGCCCAGTCACTGAAGGATGAATGCTATCTATAAGAGAAATGTCAGGTATGAAAATATTCACATCTGCAGCTTGAGAAAAACTGGAATATACAACTGAAAATTATCTCATCTTTTTCTTTAAAATAATGATTTTTAAACCCTACCTATCCAAAGTACAAATGGTATAGGATATAGGATATAGTTCATGTCTATATATCTATAAAAAGGAGTGTTTCAAAGAATGGTATCTTACAGAAAGGAACAATTCAGGGAGGTGGTTGTTGTTTTGTTTTTCAGTGATATTAAAATTAGATTAAGTCTATCATTGAGGTCTTTGGCAGAGTCACCGTGTTGTTTTGAAATATTCTCAGTGACTTGAGGTAGTAGCTATCACACATTAACAATAAGGAATAAAATTAATTTTACCCCTTAAGATGGCAGTCAAATAAAATGGAAACTGATGTTTGTATTTAAAATATCAATCTAATATGGTCCACACAATTAGCCAGTTCTGTTTACCACAGCCGTTTTGAGGCCATCTTGACATGAGGCAGAGCAGCCAGCATGTTCTAGGCATACTGGGTCCGCTTACATGGGTCAGAGTTCAGTGTTAAGTATAGGGAGCGCCCACTATACTTCTGCACTTTGGGTTTTGGTTCCATTTCCCAGACTTAGACAACAAGGGCTTCCTCCGCTCATTTTCTCCAGGAGCAGACGCAGGCCCAGAGAAGCTCAGCAGCTCTCTTCATGTTTCTCAATTTGTCAGGGGCACAATTGAGGATAAATTTAAGACATAAATTTTTAATGCTTTCCAGATCTTTTTAACATTTCCTGGCCATGATTTTCTCAATAAGAGAAAAAAATCATATGATATTGATGAATTTTGAGAAGAAAGTGATCTGACATGCTGCCCCAGGACACAGCAAGTTTAATATGACCACAAATAACATTTTTATTCGTCTCCCCAAATCATCTGGATAAAGGAGGATTCAAACATGGGACTGGAGAGATACTGCAGTATCTCTGCAGAGATATGTTAATGAACCAGGTTCGCTAATGGTGACAAAGATACTCTTTGTCATTTTAACAGTGTGACCCTGAACTACAATTTCTACATTTCTGCTAGACCTCTCTGTGGTGATGGAAATGTTAGCTGCCCATATTCTCCAACTTGGGAATGGCTGGCCACAAGTGGCTACTGAACATTTAAAATGTAATTAAGGTGACTGAGAAACTGAATTTTTAATTTCATTTAATCTTCGCTAACAAATTTAAATAGGTATGTGGAGCTAGTGGCTACTGCAGGGGATGGCACAGATTTGGCATTTTCCATGGAAGTTACTTTCCTATAATGTCAGTGAGCTGGAGACCTCTGGTGGAGGGGACTGATATCTGCAAGACACGGAACATAACTTTTAAGGTGGGCAATTGTTTTTAAGATGCAGATATTTCAGAATTGTTCATATATTTTGATACTAACACCACCACTGAACATGACATACAAGTTCTCTAGGTGGCAAGGAATGTAATAACAAAGAATACAGGGACAAATTGTGCTGATTAATGTTCGCTGTGGTGATAGTAAATTTTTAGGTTTATTAGCAGAACATCAGGCAGAGACAGGTAAAGCTTGTCTGAAACACTGCATTTTGGTTCCCTGGCATGCGTGGTAGAATATCCTAGATCACCATGCAGATCAAGAAGCATTTGTCAGGATGGGAGATGGTCTCAAGTTGTATTCTAAGCACTGAGATAAGTTGGGCTGGAGTCCGTACTAAATTCAAGACAAAGGCTCTTTGATCACCTGCCTAGCAGCGAATCACCAATGCTCTTTCCATTCCTTCTGACCCTGCCTCCATAGCGTTGAGCTAACTGGGTGTTCCCATATTAGATTTGATAGTAGAAGTATACTCCTGTGCTCTCTAAAATGAAGTTTATTGATATATTTGGTTCCTTTCTGACCCCACCACCATCTGTATTACTTATACTGTCCTCTGTAGCCATCAGAAGATGAAATGTTCAAACCGCAGCCCTCATACTTTCCCTGCCCCATGAATGTGAAGGCTCCTTTTCTCTTCACAGGCCATTCTTACCTTTTTGAATCCCGTGCTGGTTGGCTGAAAGCCTAAAACTCCATTCCATGACTGAAAATTTCCAAAGTACAGGTGACAGAGACAGCCAGCAGACTCTAATAACTGCCAAAAGTAAGAAAATCAATTGTTAGTGTGCACATCTTCAGTATTTTCTAAAGGTAAAATTCTTAAACTAATACTCAGAGTATATTTATTATTATGTGAGAATTTTAAAATCTAGTGCTGCTGCAGACATCATTTGTGACTTTTGAGTTTCTAATTTATATAAGTTCTGTTCTACTTTAAACTCATCCAAATATCTTCCCAAATATCCATGGTTGATTTGGTTACATGCCTAGAAAATCAGTGAAACTCTATTTAAAATGATTAGAATAAGTTAAATGGGAAGGTAGCTAGATATACTCACATATAACTTGAACAAAAAGAACCTACAGGTAAAAATTATGACATTTTATTAGCAGGCATAAACAAAATGTGGATAAATGTAAAGGTATACAATGGCTTGGATGGGAAGATGACATGAAAAAAATTACCTTTTTCAGATTAAAAGATAAGTCTACCTGGGTATGGTAGTGCACCTGTAATCCCAGCACTCTGAAGGCTGAGGAAGGAGGATCGCATGAGGAATGATAAATATGGCAGAATTACAAAAAATATTTTTGAAAAGGGGAAAAATATGTTCCAGATATAAAACCTATTAAAAGCTACATTGACTAAAACAATATGATAAACCAGGGGTGGTGGTGCATGTCTGTCATCCTTGCTACTTGAGACACAAACAGGAGGGTGGCGTGTTCAAGACCAGCCTGAAAAACTTAGAAGGATTCTGTCACAAAATAAAATATAAAAAGTACTAGTGATATAGCTCAGTGGTAGTGCACTCCTGGAATCAATCTCAAGGACTGCAAGAAAAAAATAATATGAGAGTGGCACATAGCTAGACTAAACAAAGAACTCATTAGGAGATTCAGTGATAGGAAAGTCAAGTCATGATAAAGGTGTTATTTCAATTCAGTGAAAAAGAGTAGTTTCAAAAATAATACTGGCAAAATGGTCTCTATCTCATACCTTGCAGAAAATTTTAAAATTTGTTTAGAGCTTATTTTCACAATAAACCCTGAAAAGCCCCCAATTTCAGTTTTTTGTTTTTTGTTTTTTGTTTTTTTCTTGTAAAGAGTGTGTCAAAAAAGAGAAGCCAGAGTTAGGGGAATCCTCTGAATATAAGGTTACTAGCTGAAAACCCATCTCTCCCATACAAAGGTGCATGTAAGATGGAAACAGTATTCTCATTTTTAAACGAAATATTAAATTATCTTATTGGATATAACATCAATAATTTGAGGCAAAATAAAATTAGAGCCTAAGAGTTTGTTCACAGCTCAGTTGTGCAGTACTGATTATTTTAAACTCCCCTATATTCTTGGTTTAGCAGTGTAAGTCCCAAATGCCTCAGAAATGCTCTGTTCTGGAGAGTGGGTCATTTCTGTAAAAGATCCTCTCTGTTACAATCTCAGGCAAACTGTAAGAGTAGTAGAAGAACAGTGGTGTAATCATTGGGCCACAGTTTTGCTGGGCTTCTAATGTGAAAAATGATTAGTAGCTTGAGGGATTTCTAATGGTTTTAACCATGGACAGCACTGTGTGAAAATATTATCTCTATTCCTTGTAGAGATAATTGAATATATATATATATATATATATATATATATATATACACACACATATGTGTATAATATATACACACACACATGTACACATATGTGTGTACATACACACGTGTATGTACACACAAATGTGTATATGTGTGTGTGTGTATATGTATATATAATGTGACAAGTGGAGATACGCGACAAGGATATGTGACAAGGGAGACAGAAAACAAACAAGTGGTAGTTATTTCTAAATAACTAAGCTTAGTGCACTTGGTAATTATGTTTCCTATCTCTGTACACATTCATGTGAAATTGCTAGAAGCTAGTTAAGTGAGTGATAGACTACTCTATGCCAAAGTACACTAAAATTTCAAGTCCCAAACCCTTGCTTTACAATTTTTTTAAAAATAAAGAAAACACTGATTGACAGCAAGGGGCTTTCTTTCTGATTCGCCTCAACAGTTTAAAGTTGAAAATTACTTTTACCATGAGAAGACCCCTCAGCTTAACAAGTGATGTTAAGTTGAACCATCTTGTGCAATGTTTTTCTCTTTCCACTTGTCTAGGACTGAAAGGATGAGAAGAGTAAACTGCAATGGACAAATGACAACAGGAAATGGACAAAACTCTCATAGGGTGCTTACCTCACATTATTTTCCTTCTGATGCTGAGTATACTTTGCCTCTCTTTTTAGACAGAGTGAGTGAAACAGAGAATCTGGCTATCAACAAAGCTGGGCTAGTAAAGCTTTTGACTTTGGAAGACATAGGATCTCTTGTCTCTATTATTCAACCATGCTGTTGAGTGGTAAAAGGAAACATGGACAACTAATAGGTGAATGGCTATAACTGTGTTACGATGAGAACAAGAATTTTGTTTCTAAATAAAAGCAGACAGCAGAGGTCGGCCTGCAGGTCATAGCTTTCTACATCACTTAGAGACTCATCAGCTGGCCACTTGGACTTGAAAGTGAACGAAGGTCACTAACCAATATTGTGAAGAGAAACCAGAAAGCACTTGGAAATAATAGTGGCAGAGGCTTGTTTCCTTTTAGATCAAATATAGTTTTAAATATTTAGAAATATTAATAGGGCAATATATCTGCATATTCTCCAACTCTCCGGTAAATCTGAAGGCCTTAAATTGATATACTCATCACATTTTAGGTGACAAATAATTATGATGGCAGTAATGGGAAAGAAAAATGCCATTTCTAACATAGCTTCTTCCATGTTATTTATGCCATGGTAGAAATGGAACTAAAGGTTCACCCCAGAGTAAAAACCAATCTTTGTGACCAATGAAATCAGTGATGACATCTTCACCCCAGTGTTCTGAGAAGTGTAAGCATAAATTCTGTATCAAGAGGTAGGAGCACATGTGAACACAGCCCACAAGCTTCTAGCACATGCTCCATTGTCTCACTGGAATTCACTGAAAAAACACAAATCAAAGGTAAAATTGTTAAGAATTTCAAGACAAGGTCACAGAACATGAAATGCCAAGCATGGGCCCTTCTGAGTAGTGGCCTCTGGGACCGTGCTGATAACAAGTTCTCGAAACCTGCCCTGGCACATTAGCCCAAGATGTGACCCCTGTTCTAGTTTTGCGTCATCTCAGAAGCTCGAGAAAGTAAAGTACCTTTGAGTGATTTTAGTCTGGCATCTTGACTCTGTTGTTTGCTACTTGCTTTTCCAACACCATGGATGAATCATTGATGTTTTCACAAACCATGAAAATTCAATAAGACTTGGATTTGCAGTACAGCAGATCAATCCTGGAATAATGGAAGATTTCGGTTAAAGTTTGTTTTCAGGATAAATAAAAGCACGAACAAATTCACCAAATTCAGAAACACCCAGGTCCTCAGTTATTTTATAATGCCATGGTTGCAAATGCCACTACAAATCAGTCAGCAAGCAAACTGCACTTGTAATAGACCACAGACACTTACACATATCTTTTACCATATTCTTTCCTTACTGAAGTTCTAAATATATTGTCCTTATACTAATGAATGGGTTAATCCATGTATCAGATTTTGCAACACTTGATTCAGAGTATTTGGAATCATCTACCACTAATCATTATATCTAGAAGATCTGACTCCTGTTATTTCCAGAGGACCCTTTTGTAGACATACGCTTTGGCTGAGGTTGCTCAACCACTCTATTGGGGGTGTCAGCTCTAACATCAGCCAGGCTGTCTACACCAACCTGTCCATCCAGGCAGGGCCACAGGTAGTTATTTCTGTCTCCAACGACTTTGTATTTATGGACTATAATCTGTGCTTCCAAGTACATAAAAGAGTTTTGCTCCCGTGACCATTAGTTAAATTTGATTTGTGAAGTTGAGTGGATTGAGAAATGTTGTGTAGATGAGTGAACCACAGTTCTAGGTGTATCTATGGATGATGGACATGTAAGTCAGTGAACTGAGGGCAAAAGAACTACCCTGGCTGGAGAGAGGAGCCCTAGTCTCCACCATTGTCTTGGAACATCAGACTCCACTTTTTCCAGCCATCCAACCCAGGCTTGTGCTGGTGACTCTATGGTGAGCTTTAGGTCTTTGACTTTGCACTGGTGTGGCATCCTTGATCCCTCTCATTCTGCAACTTTCAGCTTGGGCCAAGCAGCTACTGGATCCTCCAGCCCTCTGGCACACAGATGGTCACTGTGGACTCTCCCATCTCTGATCCTATATGCCTATGTAATAAACTCTGTTGCACGATTACACACATTTTTTTTTTGTACCTGGAATTGAACTCAGGACCTTGTGCTTGGCAAGCAGGCATGTGCAGTGCTGCTGAGCTACCTCCCTGGCTACACATATTTTCTATTGATTCTGTTCCTCTAGAGAATCCTAATTAATACAGCTCCCATCGTATGTCATCAAGGTCCCAGAATTGACCACTGAGAAAGCACTGATGACTTCTGTCATAATGAATGATTTGTTCATTCTTTTTTTTGCACAATTGTCAAATAGTGATGTCACACACAATGATTTTATCATTTTAAATCTCTGGGCGAGTCAAAAGTTTGTCCCAGAAATAAATGGGTTGTTTTAAGCACTAATTAATTTAGTCTGTTCACATTTTAGAATAAAATAGTTTGAAGTTATACCAAAATCAGTCATATACACATAAAATGGATACAAAAGGAAACTTACCCTATGCCAATTATCTCTGTTATTTCTACTTTATGGTGCCTAAAACTTCTGAATTAACAATCACTTCTTAGAATTAAATATTTTCTGGCACAGGTATTAAAAATATTAATTTTTATGGATGTAGAAAAATAGTCACTCAGTTAACATCTCAGCAATAGTTGGCTAATCAAGTCCATTTCCCCCAGAAAAGGGTAAACAAAATCTATGAGAGGCAGGCAGAGAAGCCAAAGAAGAGCAGACCACCATATTTACTGCAGCCCTATTCCCAATAGCTAAGATCTAGAATCTGCTTAAATGCTCATCAGCATACATACATATATGCACAGTGGGATACTTGAAGAAGGGTGTGACCCTGTCATTTGAACCAAAATAGGTGAATCTGGGAAACATTGTGTTAAATGAAATGAGCCAGACGCAGAGGGACGAATGTCTGTCTCACATATGGATGCTAAGGAGTTGGCCTGAAAGTAAAATTTCTAGAGCTTGTGAAGGGTGGGATCAGGATGAAGGAAGAGGGTTGGACTTGAGAAGTGCACAGTGTATGGCTGTATGGAAATGTTGCATAGGACCCCACTAATATTGATTATTTATAAGAACAGCAGAAAACTAGTGTGCAGGGAGAAAAAACTGGGAGACAGGGTGGTCTCCAAGAAAATTTTGCACATTCTTCTTCCTTGGCTACATTGTGACTATGTTTTTCATTAGTTATTGCTTCATCACATTTCTTTCCAAGACTGTATGGAAATTTTCAGAACTTGATTTCACAAACTAACACTCTAAACTCAGCTGTATCATCCAAGGACAAATACTATCTCCTCTACCTTTTCTAATTTCTTTATTGGAGGTATTTTTCTCACCTAATTTTATACCAAACTAGCCTTTAGTCCTGTAATGGTCTATTCTACTGTCTGCCTGAAGCTATTTCCTCTTTTTATTCATGTCACTAGATATTGATCAAATGCACTGGTTTATGCAGATTTTATGTTGCTTTTATAAAGCCCTGTGTTGCATCTTCTGCATTTCTTAGCAGAGACTTAAAATCAGACATTTTCACCTGAGAGTAAAAATAAAACATAAAATTTTATTTTAAAAACCAGGGGCTATAACTCAGTAATACAGCACATGCTTAGTACATGCAAGGCCAAGGATTCAATCCCTGGCACCAAATTCTCAACAGAGGAAAGAGTACGTGACTCAACATAGATGAGCTTCAGAAACATTGCGCTAAAGGAAAGAAGCCAGACACAAAAGACCACATAGTGCATAACTCCACTGATATGAAATGCCCAGAATATGTGATTCTGTATAGACAAAAATATGTAAGTCTAGATAGATTAGTGGTTGATTGTGGCTGATCATAAGTGTTAAGGCATAACTAATAAAAGAAATGAGATTTCTTTTTGAGTTGATGGAAATATACTAAAAATTTGATTGTAATGGTGGCCCAACTCTGTAAAAATGCTAAAGCCATTGAATGATATGCTTACAATGGGTAAATTTTTTGGTGTGTGAATTATATCTCAATAAAGTAATTAAAAAATAAAGCCAAAAGACATTAGGCCCCATTGGACAATTTCAGCTCTTTCTCTTCATCTCTCCTTTTCTGTCACTGTGGACTTTTAGAACTCAACTCAGACACCCCAAATTTCTTTTTGAACTGCATTAAACACACAAAAAAAATAGAAAGCTAAGAAAGTAGGAGACAATTCCAAAAGTATGACTGTATAATTTGTTTTATGAAATCTTCCTTAGTTCCTTTAAACTGGTAATTTGCCAAATAAACTTTAGGTATGCCTATATGCAGGAAATGTTTATTTAAACTCTTGTGAGTGTAAACAGTAGGCAGACTCCAAGCAGGCTGTCTTAGTCCATTTTGTGCTTTTATAGAAGGCAGAGTACCTGAGATTTCATAATTTCTAGTTCTAGAGTCTAAGAAGTCCAAAGCCAGGGAACCCACATCTGGGCAGACCCTCATGCCACATCAACTCATGGTAGAGAACAGAAGAGCAAAGAGCATGCTTAAGAGAGGGAAAGAGGGAAGTGAAAGAAAATAAACTCATCCCGTTATGGGAGACTCACTCACTCATGCTAACTAACCCGCTCCCATGACAACATTAATCCATGCGTGACGTCAGAGCTCTCTTCACCTCCTCACTTCTCAGAAGTCTTACTCTTAACACTCTTGCACTGGGGATCAAGTTTACAGCACATGAATCGTGGGGGACACGTTCAATCTATAACACAGGAATAGAGAAAGGAGCTGACCCCAATGCCCAAATGTCCTAAGGTGTGCTGCCGGTACAGAAACTTCTGATCCAGAGGCAGTCCCTAAATACATAGGATCTATCTGGCTGTGCGAGCTGAAGTGAGATACAGAAATAGAGGCAAACCAAATACAAATAAATAATAAAATATAAATAAATGCAATAATAGATGTAAATAAAATACAGTTTAATAGCACTGTACATTATTAAACCTAATAATAATATCAATGGCCATCACTGTGCACTAGGAACTGTACGAATTACCGCAGACACAGCTAACCCGTGCAACAGTCCTACAGGTATTAGCACTAAATACAGATGAAAACACTGAGGC